CATCGCGACGCTGCTGCAGCAGAGCCGTGAGCGTAAACCTTTGCAGTTGACAGCGGTTTCGGCATCGTCAACCTCGTCGCGTCGCTGCTGCAGCAGCGCCGCGTGATGTACTTCGCGCCCCTCTTAGCTTCACTCCCACATCGAAATCAACAGTGTGGACAGTGTTCTGGGACTGCGTGGGTGGGCGTTGGGGTGGGCTGGGGTGCTGGATGTTGGCATCAGAATGGCTGATCTGAGGTCGAACGGGAGCTTCGGGTGAAGCGATCTGAGAGCGTCGGTGCCCCTCTGCAGAGGTGATGCTGTCTGACAGCGGCGTGTCTGTTCAATAGCCCCCCCTATTGAACAGCCACGCCCGTGTCTGTTCAATAGCCCCCTCTATTGAACATGCCATGTTCAATAGCCCCCTCTGTTGAACAGCCACGCCCGTGTCTGTTCAATAGCCCCCTCTATTGAACAGACACGCCTCTGTCGATGTCCCAGCTGCCTTCGAGGCTCCCAGATCGCTTCGGTATTTGCTCCTGATCACACTTCGCGCATCTCCTGAATCCGTCCCGCGCCCTCCTCGGACACCTTCCGTGTCCCTCCTGTGTCTGCCCGCCCGCCCGCTCCCGAGCTCCCGTGTATACCTATCCGTCTCCCGTGTCTCTCCCGCGTCTCTCCCGTGCCCCTTCCGTGTCTCCACCTGCCTTCCGTGCGCTCCCGCCCGTGTCCCTCCGCGCCGCTCCCGCGTCCGCCCGCCCGCTCGCCCCCGAACTCCCGCGCCCCCCCCGTGTCTCTTCCGTGCCCCCCCCCCGTGTTTCTCACATGTCCCTCCCGCCCCTCCGTGTCTTTCGCGCCGTCCCTTCCGTGTTCCTCAAATGATCATGCATCTCCCCCCGTGTCCTGCCCGCCCGCCCGCCCGCGCTCGTGTCCTTCCCTCCCGTGTCTCCTCGCATCTCCCCCCGCCCCCCCCCCCCCCCCGTGTCCCTCATTATCTCCCTCCTCTCCTTTCCATCACTCTATATCTCTCTCCCTATTGCCCACTACCATGCGTTCCATCATGGTGCGCATGCATAGCGCTGCAGCGCTTCATGTTACTTTGTGACGATGATTTCTGCTGAGCGCTGCAGCGCTCACGTGTTTTCCTTAATTGCATGCGATCGTTGCGCTGCAGCGCATCTGTACTGTTGTGGCCTCTCTTCCACCTCAGCAGCCGAGTGCTTCAGCTCTCGCAGTGTGGGAGGCCCTCCCTCGCGCTTCCCCTCGGAGCGTCCGCGCACCCCCTCGCCCTCGCGGAGGGCATCATGTCTGCCGCGGCTGCGGCCACACCCATCAACCACATCCTGGATAACCTGGACAGCTGCGACGCCTTCTTCGCATCGCAGATCGGCGTCATCGCCGCCGACGCGATGGCGCAGAGCCAGTCCGCCTTGTCCATGAGCGTGCAGCTGCAGCTTCACAACTTGGGGACGATCGGGGCTGCCCAAGCAGCTACCCTGCAGAATCGAATCACCGCGTCGGGCTTCGCGGACAGCCACAAGGCGCGCCTCAGCGCCGCGCTGGCCGCGCGCGTGGGCACGGCGACGCCCGCGCTCCAGATGCGCGTGCAGACGCTCGCGTCAGGGCGGCGCTATCCATCGTGCTTTGCACATCGGACCGCCGAAGCGTTATTCACATGTATGGTTTAATTGTTTGTTATGTAATTTATGTTTGTTACCATGTTCATGTTTCACATGTACTTATGTTATCATGCTGCAACATGCCTGCGTCGATTCGTCGGCTGGTGGACTTTACCATGCAGGACTGGGGTTTATTTCGCGACCCCAACCAGGGCATCGTCGCGAAGGTGCGCGCGTTGATCAAACGTTGCGGTGCCATCGGCTTGACGGTTCCGAGCGAGAACACGCTGAAAGGGTTGGCGGCGTCGATGGCATGCGCCCATCTTCCAGACGCAAACCCTGGGCAGCTCTACGGGATCGTGACGGGGATGAAGGTTTGGGATTCGGCGGGAACGCCTAACGCAGACGCATCGCATCGCACTGACTGCAGCCAATGCGATGCGGCGCGTCAGCGTTAGGGTTTCCCGACGAGTCGCCCTTTACAGGGTCAGCTCTTGGCGAGCCGCAGGGGCGCGACGGGGCAAGCGGCGACAGTGACTTGGAATTTCCCAGCAGATCCTCGGCAACTCCCTCAGCACATCTTCGACGCGGCGTACACCGATGCGGACCCGCCGATCGATGTGACGCGCGACCTCGCCAACGTGGCATCGCATCTACGAGGCTGCTGCCACCCCGTCATGCGCTGCAGCGCTGATTGTTCTGGATGTCTTGGGTGCTTCGGTGAGCTCGGTCCTTTAGGTCCACCTCGCATAGAGCATGATAGGTTTCATGCTACGCGTGCGCCGCTGAAGCGGCCTGCGGGTCTCAACGCCATCAAGGCTCGCGTGCCTCTCAGGCTGACCAACAAGGGCTTGCGGGCTGCCGCCCCACCGCATCAGCCGAGCACTGCCATTGTGCCATGGACACCATCGGGGTCACCCTCCGTGCCGCCTGCAGCGCCAATGCAACCCATGGACGCGATGGCCGTGATGCAGCAAATGCTGGCAGCGTTTGCGCCACCGCCATCGCCGCCCAACGAGCTGCAGCTGCAGCTCTTCCCGCGCCGCCCTGCGGCGCCCACGGCGAGCCCCCCCGCGAGTCCCCCCGCGATTGGTGATTCGCCAGCTGGGCCAGCATTGTCAGCGGCGGCGCCAGATGCTGCTGCAGCAGCGCCAACGCCGCCAAACGAAGATGCTGCTGCAGCAGCAGACGGAGACGAGGATGCTGTGCTGCAGGCGATCGAGACCTTGGCTGCGGGCAGCGCGAAAGGCGAGCTGCCTCGCAAGGGCAAGGGCAAGAAGGGCAAGGGCAAGAGCGCGAGCAAGGGCAAGAGCAAGACAGGCGCTGGCAAGGGCAAGACGGCGGCCAAGGGCACGGCCAAACCGAAGGCCAAGGGCAAAGGGAAGGCCAAAGCCAAGGCCAAGGCCAAGCCCAAGGGCAAGGAGGCAGCCAAACGGGGCCAAATGGCACTCGGGTGCAGCAAATGCCGCTACCTGCCGAATGGCTGCGGCACGTGCCGCGACCCGAACTTCACTGGCCGTCGCGGCAAGCCGTGAGCGCGCAACGGGCACTGTCGGCATATGGAGGTGAGGATGAGGATTATGAGGGCGAGGAGGAGGATGGGGAGGATGATGAGGAGGATGAGCATGTGGAGGAGAAGGAATGAGGAGGATGGTGAGGATTAGTGCGAGGTTGGATGGAACGCTGGCCGATGATATGAACGGTAGTGGCGATGGTCTTGCCTGGCGGTCGCGCGGCTCGCACGGACGACGAGGAGGATGAAAGTCAAATATGTTGACGGGTTCTCTTGGATGCGGGCGCTGCAGCGCCGGCGCCTTTGTGTTCAACGTTTGCATCGCCATCGTGATCACGATGCAGCGCTGCAGCGCTCGCTTTCCTGGATGGTGGCGTAGATATTGCGTGCTGTTGTGTTCCGATGCAGCGCTGCAGCGCCTGTCAGACTTGTGGTGCCGTTGTAGCGTTGGCGCGTTTGTGAGTGTGCAGTTGCAGCCGCGGTGCCCATGTATTGCGTGACGTGCTCGTATTGAGTGCCAGTCGTTTCTCGTCGATACGCGCTGCAGCGCCATCACTCGTGATGTCGAGCGTTGTCTCCCGCATGGTTGTTGCCAAGTCACGCGCTGCAGCGCTGTGATTCGCTCATGTTGCGCGTTGCCGATGGCATGCCCTCCTCCCCCTCCTCTCCTCCTCCTCCTCCTCACTTGGCTCGCGCGTCGCAGCCGCCATCGTTCGCTGCAGCGGGTGCTGGCAACGGACCTCCTCCGCCTCCTCACTGGGCTCGCAATGGCGGCGCGCCGCTGCGACAAGCCGTTCGAAGCGCAAGCGCGCGCCGACCGTCGCGACGAGTTGCGCGGGGCCCGCGCGAGAGCGACGGCGACTGCTACAGCAGAGGTGAAGGAGGCGCGGAAGAACGCCAGGAAAGCGGAGAAGCAGGTGCAGATCCGCACCGCGGAGCTGCAGGTGGATGAGGAGGCGGATGAGAAGGAGGACGGTGGGGTTCATGAGCGCGGCAGGCTACTCCCCCGCTGCAGCGGGGGAGAAGGACGACAGGGGGGATGATCAGGAGGAGGTGGAAGGCGATGGCGTGGGAGGATGAGGAGTATGAGTAGCAGGGTCGGGGTCAGATGGACATCGCCGCTTCGGATGTGGCCAACCAGAAACTCAGCGAGGCGTTGACCTCGCTGCGGAACGCCAAGAAGATGAAGGCGACCTGAGTGAGGTCGGCCTCGGCGACCGCCTGCTGAAGCATGCTGGTTCGATTGATTGGTAAAGGCTGGAGGGAGCGTGGTTGAGCGTGTTGTTTGAGTTGCGCTGCAGCGCTTCTCCGTGGACCACGGTTGAAAGTTTGCGCGCGGATCATGATGTGTTAATGTGTTGCGCTGCAGCGCAGTTTCGCTTGCAGTTTCTCGTTGGATGGTGATGTGGCGGATGATGAGGGCGAGTGATATTGATGCTGTTGACGATGAAGGTGATGGTGACGGGGAGGATGAAGGGACGGGGGACGGATGATGAGGAGGATGGGTAGGTTGAGGAGGAGGATGGGGAGGATGAGGGGGCGCATGAGGCGGAGGAGGAGGAGGGGGAGGAGGAGGAGGAGGAAGAGGAGGAGGAGGAGGTATAGGAGGGGGGGGGAAGAGGAGGAGGACGAGGGGGATGGCGAGCAGGATGGAGGAGGAGGAGGACGTTCGCGCTGCAGCGCGTCAGATTGTCATCATTGAACGTTAGCGGCGCTGTAGCGCCATGTGCTCCCAGACTGTTGCTTGGCAGTTGGCGCTGCAGCGCGCATTTGGTTGCTCTCCACGCGGTGCAGCCTCATTTCCATCCGTAGTCGCCGTGGCCCCTAGCGGAGGGGCCCCTCCGCGCGCGCGCAGCGACGGAGGCGAGCTTGCCTCGGGAACGCGCGCGATGGCGGCAGAGGACGACCGCCCAGCGAAGCTGCGGCGGCTGTCCCGCCTTCGCGCGGAACTGCCATTCATGCATTGTAATGCGATGGCGCAATTCCTGGCGTCCGTTAAGCGAGACGGAATCCCCGAATTGGGATCCCGACGCCAGGATATCAGAGACGCTCGGGAGCTCATGGTCGGTGAGAACACGCCGTGCGGCAAGCTCCACCAGAACATGATAGTCGGGCAGCACGCGGTGGAGATCTGCAGTCCAGCAGCAATGCGGTGGTATTGCAGCGCCCTCCCCGCGATGCAGCCTCTGCGGCAGCGGGCGCTGGAGCTGCCACGCCCGTGGCACATCATCATTTACGGCGGTGAAATAGGCGCTGGCAACGCGCTGGCGCACGTGCAGAACCGCAAGTCCTGGGGCATCTACTGGACGATCGCGGAATTCGGCCCGCAGGCGCTTTCGTCGGAGGACTTTCGCGATAGCGTTGCTGCAGCAACGATGCATGCGGGGGGGGGGGGGGGGATAGAGAGAGAGGGAGAGAGAGAGAGAGAGAGAGAGAGAGAGAGAGAGAGAGAGAGAGAGAGAGAGAGAGAGAGAGAGAGAGAGAGAGCGAGAGCGAGAGAGAGAGAGAGAGGCGCTGCAGCGCCAGTTGTGCTGCGATTTGTTCGCAGGATGCGTGGTTCCAGCTCGCGACGATGCGGGCCAAGACCGCGAACGACATCCAGCCGCGCGGACTGACGATGCTACTGGACGCAATCCTCGCGCAGTTCTGGCCTGATCAGGGGCACAACTTCAGCGCAGGCATCAGCTTGCGGCTGCGCCCCGACGGCGCGACGGAGCTCATCCAGATGGACCTCGGAATTTACATGCAGCCGCTGCAGCGGTCGCCGCATAGCACCCAATATTAGTTAGCATACATGTGCACATGTATATATCCATTACGCCTTCTTGCGTCGCTGCAGCGGCTCTGTCGGATCGCGGACGAGGATGCAATACACCGCTTGATCGGAATGAAAGGTTCGTCAGGAATCAAACCATGTTTTATGTGCCGCAACGTGTTCTTGAAGGGCGAAGTTCGGGATATAGTTGCTTCTGATACGACGGGTGTCGCTGTTCACCACTCGGAACCAGATGCGTCGCGGCTGCAGCCGATGACGGCGCCGTTGCTCGATGCCATCTGCAACAGATTGATCGAAGGGGTCAACGTCATGAACAAGGGCGAGTTCCAGGAGTTGGAGCGCCGACTTGGCTGGAACTGGGACCCCCATTTGCCTGAGCGGGTTCGGAAACTCAAGCCGCTCGAGACAGTCATGTTTGATTGGATGCATTGTATTTTCGTCAACGGTACATATAACATTCTGGTGTTCCAAATGTTTCGAAGGTTGAAGGGTTACTGGGCGCGCGCAGACGCATATTTCCAGGACTGGTCGTTTCCAGGGTGCCACTCCATCTCCCCCGACACGTGCGCGATCTTCGGCGAGAAGCGCGTGAGGTCCCACGTTGACAGCAAGCATTTCAAGTGCACCGCCAGCGAGGGGCTCACAACCATGCAAGTATCATTGCATGCTTCGCGCCCCCGCCAGACCAATAATACATGCGCTGCAGCGCACGTGAATTTCTGTAGGATATGTACTGCACCCCTCTTGTTCGGACATGCGTTCGCGCGGGCGGATTGACGTGTTTCTCCAGGGAGGTGGCTAGCGACGCTGCAGCGCCTGCAGTCCGATCGGCTTGCAGAGGACCAGACCGACGACTCCAGGGACCGGCGCCGCACCTTCGTGGAGGCGTGGGTCCAGCAGGTCGACTCGAATGCTATCGTCTACAGGGCTTGGTCTCCCAAGCTCTTCGAGAAGTCGGGAGGCAAACGCTCCGTCAGCGTGCTCGCTGTGGTGACGGAAGAGACCTCCAAGACCCTCCGGGCCGGCAGTGGCAAGGATGGCAAATTTTGTTGGATCGCCCACCTCGGCGACGCCACTGCCCAGGCCGCCGAGGACAAGGCGGCGCCGATCGTGTGGTTCAAGAGCGGCACCGACCTTCCCGCAGCACTGGCTGTGATGGATACTCTTGACGGGCAGCGCGGACTCGTGCCTGCTCCCCAACGCCTTGGCGTCCGAGTGGCAGCTGAACATCATGAAGCTGCCTCTCTGCGGATCGTGGGGTCGCTCGCGGCCCCTGGCCGCCAGAAGTCGTACAATGTACGGGGCGCCCCGCTGGAGTTGGACGGCGAGGCGTTGCAGACGGCCCTCGCCAAGCAGCCCTTCGGGTGGGAGGTCACCTTCGACCGCATGTTCGAGACTCGCGTCGGCCGTGGGCCCTCCAGCCAGCTGCAATTCTGCTGTGTGGTCCGTGCGGCTGCGCCGCCGCCGAAGCCACACGTCCGGCTCGGCACCCACTTGTGCGCCATCGCGGAGGTGATCAAGCCCTCCAAGGGCCAGAGCCGCGGCAGCGCCGACCCCAAGTCGGCCGAGCCGCCTGCGGATGACCTCATGGGCGGAGGCGCAGCCGAACTACCGGAAGCTGAGGCCGCAGGCACTGCAGCACCTGCAGAAGCCGCACTCGCCAAGGCTGCTTCTCCGGCCTCCCAGCGCGTGGCGGCCGCTGCCATGCAGGTCAACCCCGCGGCCATGGAGATGCTCCGCGGCCTCGTGACGGAGGAGGTTGCCAAGCAGGTGCGCGCCGCCAGCGCGGCCGCCCAGGCCTCCGCCGACGCAGCCGCGGCAGCTGCCACCGCTGCCACGGCTGCGGCCACCCAGTGCCAGTCGGACCTCGCCGCCCTGCAGGCTAACATGGTCACACCTGCAGCTCTGTCCGACTCCCTGGCCAGCAACAACAAGACGTTGATGGACGGGCCGCGCGCCATGCTCGCGCAGAACCAGCAGCAGGGCGGGGCGCCTGCACCATCATCGCCGTGCGGGGCGCCTGCACCATCATCGCCACCAGCGGCGGCACTTCCAAAGGGGCCACCAAAGGCAGCAGCGCCTCGTGATGGGCCGTATTGACGGGGCCCCTACGACGGGTCCGGGCATGCAGCGACGTTCTTGTGCCCGGGGCCTGCCAGGGGTGCCAGAGGCCGCTTCTGTACATGCATTTTCTTCTTCTTGCAATGGTTTGCTGGTGTCGACGCTGCGGCACATCCACTGTTCACCATTCAGACTGCTAATGTGACGTCGGCCTCGGGGCGTGCTCCCGTGCTCGCCGCGCGGGCAAATCAGGCCCACATCGCAGCTGTCCAGGAGACCAAGCTGGGCAGCAAGGCGCAGGTTGACTTCGCTAGCGACCTGAAGGCCTCCGACTCGGACATCTGCGTCTATTTCGGCGCTCCGAGCCGCCATAGCGCTCAGCGTTGCGCCGCGGCCGGCCTGCCCTCGGGGCGACCTCCCGGCGGCCGGCACCGCGAGACTCGTACGAGCCGCAACGTGACCAACTCTGGCGTCGCCCTGCTCACCAGATCATCGTTGGCTGTGGTGCCACACGCGCCCGATTCCGCTGGTGAGCGAGCCCTCGCCGAGTCCGCCCGGTGGAAAGCCGTTTGCCTCCCCGGTGTTGCCCACATCGCCACCTTCTACGGCATCAGCGGCGTCCGCTCCTACCGGACGGGGCTCGACTTCACCGCCAACGAGCGGCACCTGCGTGCGGTTTTCGCGTGGGGGGAGGCCCAAGGAGGCCGGCCAGTGATTATTACAGGTGATTTCAACACCGATGCTGACGCCAGCCCCGTCTTGGCCGCCGCCCTCAGCACTGACAGGTGGTACGACTGCGGCGCCTCCATGGGGGGCGTGAGCCCTGCGTATTATCGTTCAGAGGCGGATCGTCATGCAGGAGTCGGTGGCTCGCGAATCGACCTCATCATTGTGAATGCGGCTGCACATGCGGCCCTCCGGCGATTCCGCCGGGCAGATTTTGCTGTTCCGCTTCACTGTGCCCTCGCAGCGTCCTTCGACTTCGGTTCCCTGGCCAGGGAGCGCTGGATCGTCCTCGCCCCTGCACCGCTCGGGGTCAGCGCTCTTGCCCGAGACGACATCGACTCCGAGGACCCGAAGGAGACTGCTGCGGCTGTCTGGGCTGACGTCGAATCGCAGTTCTATGCAGCCCTCGGGGCGGCTGCTTCGGCACCTGCCGAGGAGGCCCAAGCGCTGGTCAACGAGGCCATGACGCTCTGGAGTGACGCGGCCCAGCTCTACCTCCGACTACGCGTGGGAGACGTCACGGGCGTTGTTCCTCCTGATGACGGCGCGCGTCGCTGCCGAGCCCCACGCTTTCAGAAGCAGCGCATTGTTGCACCATATCTTCATAAACGGCCTGAGCTGGGCGCTGCTACGCAACCCATGCTGCAGGCAGAGAAACTTTTGCGGTGCTTGCGACAGCTCCGCGCCCAGCAGAGGAGGATCAATTTAGACAAGTTGGACCTCCGGCGCCTTGGCGACGCGGCGGTCCCGACCACCAACACCGCCAAGCAGTCCGTGTCCTCTCCGTTCTGGGTCGAGTACTACAACCTGCTCGGCAACACGCGGATCCTCCTTCGCCGCTTGGAGGGCCCGCCGGCGGGACCAGATGATGAGGGCACAACGCGCCTCCACCTGGCTAACGTCGACCTGGGGACCTGCACAGGCATTTTGGCAGCAGAGGAGGCCACAGATCGGTACATCCTTGACTTGGCACATGCGCGCCGGCAGCTTCGGTGTCGGCGCTGGGCTGACAAAATGCACGCTGCCACCAGCGGCCGCGCCTCCGCCCCACTCTTCCGCCACATCAAGCAGGCTGGGGGGGTCCAGGAGAAGGTTGCCCGCCACCTGCGGCGCCCCGACGGCTCCCTGACCGTGGACCCCCTTGAGATGCACAAGATGCGCAAGGAGACCTGGCACGCCATTTTCAACATCTGGCAGGCTGGGCCTGCAGCGGGCGGTCCTGACCACGTTCTGCCTGCAGCTCCCTCTTGGGAGAACTACTTGCACCAGCTCCGGGACCACATCCCTACGGCCACATGCACATTCCCGGAGCTCGACGAGCACATGCTGCGTCGAAAGATTGCCTCCATGGATGGGCAGAGGGCCGCAGGCGCGGATGGATGGAGGGCGCGCGAGCTGAAGTGCCTGCCTCGCCTGCCCCTCCGGCCGTGGGCGGATTTTTTCAATGCCTTAGAACAGCATGATCTCCCATGGCCTTCTGTTATCGATTATGTGCGAGGGACATTTCTAGACAAAGGAGAGGGCGGGGCCCCGGACAAACTTCGCCCTATTCGCATTCTCTGTCTTTTATTGTCTGTACACAGGCATCCGATTCGATGACACGAACACCTGGAGAGAGGCCATCATGCCAGCCAGCATGCACGGAGCTCGGAAGGGCGCCACTACCCATGATGTTCTCCTTCCGACGGCTGCTGCTGCGGAGTATCACGACATCCAGGGCACGGCGTTTGGAAGTGTCTCTCTTGATCGTCGGAAATGCTTTGACAGATGGGTTTGGCACATTTCTTTTCAGCTCTTGGAGTACATGGGGATCCCCACTCCTCTCCTGAAGGCGGTGCAGCGGCAGCTTCACGTCCAGAAGCTGTTCTTCGGCATCGGCGGCGCCATCAGCGACTTCTACCAGCTCTCCAACGGCTTCGGCCAGGGCGACTCCTTTGCCATCCTGGTGACCACGGCGCACATGGCAGTCTGGACACGGCTGGTTGAGGCCGGCGGGCTCTCTACAGGGGGATTTTTCGACGACTCCCACCTCGCAGCCACGTCCGCCAGTCTCATTCGGGAGGGCGTCTCCCGGTCCCTGCTGTTCGACGAGCTGAGCGGCCAGCAGACCAACATGGACAAGACAGTCGCTTTCGGCACCTCGGCAGAGTTGACAGGTGAGCTGGGGCAGATTACGATCAATGGCACGCCCTTGCGCATCACTGCGGTTCTGCACCTTCTCGGCGCGTACCTGCCCATCTCCCCGGGCCCCGAGGACGACATGAGCATTTACGCGGCTGATCGCTACACGTCTGCCTTCAACTCGGTGCGCCGCGTGGCGACGCTGCCGGTAGATTCTGGGACGAAGTGCCAGCTCATCAGCACCGGTGCGCTGTCCAAGCTCTACGGGATGGAGTACTCGACGCCCTCGGAGAAGCAGCTGACGGCTCTTGGCACGGCCGTCCTGGACGCTGCGTGGGGGGACGGCCGGTATGCACGCTCCCGGGCCGTATTCTTTACGGTACTCACCAGAGGGCACATGTTGGACCCCTGGCAGTGCCTGCGCTACAACACCACACGGACTTGGCTCCGCTATCTTCGCAGCTCCGCCGCGGGCCTGCGACAATTTACGGCTGTTCGTTCCCTCCTGGTGGCAGGCGGCTCAGGGTCCTTCCAGGGGCCCACAGCGAGACTCCTGCAATACTTCGAGGATATCGAATGGAATCTGTTCAACGTAGACATCCTGATCACCCACAGTGGCGAGCCGATCCGCTGGTTGGAAGTTGGGGAGTCTTATGTTTTCCATGCTCTCCGAGTGGGCCTCCGCCGGGCCGCGTGGTCCAGACAGAAGCTCCGCCCAGACATGCCTGAGCTCCAGCACGGGGCTGCCGCGGTCGACGTCGACGCCTCTGCTGCACTCCTGCGGGCGCCCACGAAGCTTACGAAGCTGCAGCGGGGCATTCTGCGGACTTATCTTGCGGGAGCGGTGAACACGCAGGACCGCCTCGGCGCCATCACCGAGGAGACCCTCAGGAGACGAGCCCGCGGCGCTGCCGCTGCCGCCCCCGGGCCCGCGGGAGCCGGGGGCGATCCGCCCGCGCCCGCTAGTCTGACCAGGGTGTGTCAGCTCTGCGGAGAGGAGGTGGAGACCACAGACCACATCCTCGAGCGCTGCAGCCACCCCGCCATTGTGGCCGCCAGGGAGGAGTGGACCACCCCAGACCTCCGCGAGCTGGGCCCCTCGCTGCCCACCTGCACGCGGCTGTGCGGCTTGGCAGTGGAAGATCCGCGCGATGAAGCAGCGCGGCTTGCACTGCCGCCCGTGCAGGGCCACGGCGAGCCGCCGCCGCGCCTGGAGACCGACGACGCCGTAGAGATCTTCACTGCGGATGGCTTCCTCATCGCAGCTGGGGGCGGCGCGTGTCATCATCAGCATCTTCCCCTTGCTCGGCGAGCAGGGTTCGGAGCATTCTACGGCCGCAACCACAGCGCCAACTTCGGCCTCCCCTTGTGTGGCTGTGAGCAGACCGCCCAGAGAGCCGAGGTCGCCGCATGTGCTCGTGTGCTGGCGCACAGCTGGCGGCCCACAGAGTATTGGACGGACAGTGATCTCGTATTCTTGGGATTCGAGCGCCTGCTGGCCGGATTCCGGCCCTCCCCAGAGCATTGTGATCTCTGGGCCAACATTGCCACCGCTTATCATGCCAGAGGGGGTTCCGACCATTTCCGTGTACGCAAAGTGCGAGGTCACGACCAGAATTGGGAGGCGGAGGACCCAGACAACCCTACGGATGATGAGCGGCAGCGCATGCTGGAAGCCCCCATGAATGCTGGGGCCGACAGGCGTGCCGTCGCGGGCTCGGACCAGCACGCGCCCTGCGACGACCTGGTCCGCAGGGTGGCTGTCCGTGCCACCGTGACGCGTGCCGTTCAGCGGCGTGCTGTGGCCATTCTGGAGGCCCGCGGGCTGCTGCTGGAGGAGGCCGGCCGCACGCCCCACCAGCAGATGCAGTCGTGGCAGCAGGCCCAGGCAGGGGACCAGCCGCCGGCCGACCAGCACCCAGGAGCGGGGGAAGAGCGACCCCCACCTGGTGCTGGGGCTCCTGAGGCGCGGGCTGGTGCTGAGGCCGGCCTCGACGCTGGGGCTGGAGCTGGGGCTGGTGCTGGCCTCGACGCCGCCCTGCTGGAGCAACGCCACTTCCCGGAGTATCCGTGGGAACCGA